AAGAAGCTACTAGTAGCAAAGGGCATCGCTACTAGCAACAAGGGCATTACGGCGTTACGACTAGTAGCATTCTTGCATGAGCCAATGAGCCCACCATATTTCACCGTCGAAGACTGTGTTCGCCCACAGCCTGTTCCGGGGTCAGAAGGCCCCAACTTCTGGCTGTTTGGATTAAGGCTGAGCTTTCTCGGTTGGAATGCCTCACCCCTCGCACCGAACTAGTAGCGTCCTTGCTGTCCTTGCTCCTAGTAGTACAGCCAGGACCCCCTAGTAGCGTTCTTGCTCCTAGTAGCGATGCCAGGAGCCCCTAGTAGCTTCTTGTTACTAATGCCTCACCCCTCGCACGAACAAGAATAATGTGGAAGTTGCAGAAAAATCACAAGCTTTCGAGTGTTCCAAGTTAGACCACAATGTCCGTAGACTTCCAAGTGTTCATGGCTCTAATATGTTTGTGTTTCTTGAAAACGAAGAAAGGCGGCACTTTCCTGGCTGCAAAACTGCATCGATCATCAGCTCTTGGATCTTGAAGGGCTTGAAGACCGTGGTGCGGTGCTTCTTGGCAAAACTACCTTATTTAAAAAGAACACAACACACACACAACTCACTGCACCCAATATCAATCAAAGTGCCAACTCAATCAATCGATCCGTAAAGGTAGCCACAAAGTATAGATAGAAGAGTTGGCTCTGAAGTCACGCAATACTAAATACAACATCTCAGCTTGTCTTAACAGACTGCTTGCTTGTCGCTTATCAACTGTTCGCCGAATGTCTTCCAGCCAAGAGATGAGCTCCGTTTTGCAAATACCAAAGGAGATCAAATTTGGCCTTGGATGGCAAGAAATGGCACATGCGAGCGGGCTATCTGGAACATCGGGACAGCAAGCAAATGCAAGACATTCTCCCTTAGGACTTCTCAGCTTTCTGGATTCACTCAAGTTTATCTCACTGTTGCTAAAGAGAGCAAGGACGCTATTAGGGGCTCCTGGCCTTACTAGGAACAAGAACGCTACTAGGAGCTCCTGGCATCACTACTAGGAGCAAGGACGCTACTAGGAGCAAGTTCTTTAATGTTTGAGGCCACTGAGACGAGTGACACCTGCCACGGAGCCTTCCCTGAAGCGACTCTGCAAAGCCAATGCTTCCTGGATGGGCAGGACGTCCTGCGCCGCGATCTGGTTGACAAAGGGACACACGTCTTGAGATGACTTAAGTCTCAACCTCTCTAATTGTTTTCTACCTCTCAAAATCTCTTGTTTTGTGATGACTTGTGGCTTTTGGAGTTCGCAGTTTCATCTTCACCAAAGGTCTACGCATACTCAGGCACCACGAATGCCTGCTTCAGAAAATGCTTGCTTCTCGAGTCAGAAACAAAGCATGCTGAGACACCTCAATGGAATTCTGTGGGAATTCATGCAAATACCTTGGATGACGAATTCACAAACAAAATGCAGAATTCAAACAATCCAATGTCCGCTCTAAGTCTTCAAGAGGCCACAACGAAGCAGTCTCAAGGGCTAGAAGACAAGCTCGAACTCTGCTTTAAAAGCCGCTCTGCTAGTAGGTTGGAGGCCATTGCTATTAGATTGGAGGCCATCGCTTTTTAATGCCAAGGTGCTGTTTCTTAATGAGGCCGATGGCATCCGCCAAAGACTGGCACATTTCGTAGTAGAGATTCAAATCCGGAGTCTCCTAGGTGAATCTTCAAAAATCACAGCTGTAGAGTTCTTGCAAGGCTAAGACTTCCCTGCACCTCCCTCTCTCACTGGAGAAGCAAACATGTATCTCTGTCAAGGTCTGCGGTTTGGAGGCCATCACTTCTAGGTTGGAGGCCATCGTTATTAGGTTGAATCCCATCACCTGGCGCTCTCTCTCTCTCTCTCTCCTTCTTCTTTTTGGCACTGTACTCCAGCGCCATGGAGGTTCGCCTTGAGAATATGGTCGGGCTAGAGATTTGGTATGAAAGCGTCCTTGCTCCTAGTAGTAAGGCCAGGAGCCCCTAGTAGCGTCCTTGCTCCTAGTAGCGATGCCCTTGTTACTACTAGCGAATGGAATTGGAGCATTTTCACAAAGATGCTTCAATTCCTCTCTCTTGCTACACAAGAGACAATGAGCGGGGGCAGTGCGCTCAACTTAGGGATGCCTTGAGAGGCTAACTCACCAACGTGTGTCCAAGCAGAGAGTGCATTACTGAAGAAACATCAAAGAAAAGGACAGTTTCACATTCGCAGGTGTGCAAAATTGTGTTCACCTCTAACACCGGAAGTGGCCAGTGAGGTCCAAAGAACTGGATGCAAAGGAATAGCTGCTTAGCTACTAAAGACATGCTATTTTACTAATAGGTTGGAGGCCATCGCAAGTAGGTTGGAGGCCATCGCTATAAGGTTAGAGGCTATTATATATAGGTTTTAGAACAAAGCGTAGCAGTTGCACATCGAACTCCCAAGGCACATGATGTGGGCGAGCTGGAACTCCCAAGGCGTCAGTCGTGGGATCTCCTTCTCGTCGATGAGATTCACCCATCCCGTGGTGATGCTCTTGTTCTTTCCGGACCTCACGAGAGCATCGCTACGAACGGGGCTCCTGGCCTCGCTACTAGGAACAAGAAGCTACTAGTAACAAGTGCATCGCTTCTAGTAACAAGTGCCTTACTAGTAGTAACAAGAAGCTACTAGGGGCGGCCTCGCTACTAGGAACGATGGCCTTCCTTCTTTCAGACCTTTAGACCTTTAGACTTCGACTCCTCGCTTTCTACCGGACTGAGACGTGCTTGAGATCCCGAAATCGGCCTTTTGCGGCATAAAGTGTCCAGCGCTATCCTGCCTCTATGTTACGTAGCTTAAGTAGCTAGGAGCCGCTCCCTTAATGAAGTAGGTGCCTATACTCAATTCAGGGCGGGCTAAAAAAATAAAAAACAACTTAATGAAAATTGCACCTAGCAACTCTCCATAGATCATGTTCTTGATCAAGTTCTGAACCTCATGGCAACTAGTGCTTCTCAAGAACGCTATTGTGTTCATGTTCGCGGGTCTTGGACATCAAGCCTTACTAGTAGTAACAAGTGCCACGCTACTAGGAACAAGTGCCACGCTAGTAGTAACAAGTGCCTTACTAGTAGTAACAAGAAGCTATTAGACTTAAAACTAGTAAGGCACTTGTTACTACTAGCAACAAAGGACAGTAGAACATGAACAGGCATGAACTTGCGAGCTCCGCGAGTAGCAAATTCTTCCAGCTTGCACGTGCCTGGAGCTTCTCCTTGGCATTCAACTGGACAATGTCCTTCTTTTTCTTCTTGCTATCCTGGACAAAAACAGGGTGGTGGTCTCACAAAGGAAGCAAGCACTAGACACTCTTGCGTTGCGTGCTCCTTTTTGTCGTCTTTCTTGTCTTTCTTGTCCTTCTTGTCGTCCTTTCAAAAGGCTTGGCAAAACCTTTTGCTGTATCAATGAAGGTGGATCCTGACTGTAACTCATGTCAAATATGTCTAGGCTTCAGCCAGGTCTTTTCCAACTGCGGTCCCGTCCATACGGTCCTCTTCCTTTTTGTCCTTTTTGTCTTTCTTGTCCTTCTCTTTGTCCTTTTTGTCCTTCTTGTCTTCCTGCGATCGCGGCCAGTCTGCCAGAGTCTGGTCATAGCTCGTGCGGTGCCGCCTTCTCCTCTTTCTTCTTCATGGCAGGCATGAACCTGGCTCGTGGCCATGAATTTTGCAGTATACACATCCATGTAAACTAGGCGAGGTGTACTCTCCCAAGACTTCCTGAAAAGCACAAGGCAGCTTCAAAAGCGAAGAAAGTTCTCAAGTGACCCGCACCCCAAGTTCCATGAGAATTCCACGTCAAAACCAAGTGGCGTACATAGGGGTTCTTACTAGAAGCTATTTTCACTGGTCTTATCACTTATCGGAGTAAAAGAAGCAACTACTCTAGCAGCATCAGATATTTGGCCCCCAACTCTGACAAAACCGTTCAGAACATGACTTATCCCTTTTCTTGCTGATGCTAGCCTCTTGCTTATATGAACGTATTGGAACCTATTCACGCGGAGGAATCTAGCACAAGCTATAAGTAAGTAGGTACGGTGACAACTCAAATGGGCTAATCCCTAGTGATCTGAAGTGCTTCAACATTGGCTTGCGTTGTTTAATGTCTGCAATATATATATATATTCATGCCTCAAACCTCCTTCTTGCTAACGGCTTTGCACGCTCTAACAATTCAACGGTGCCACATGGATGTCCTCAACATCTTGGATGCCATACTTTTCCATGTCCTCACGTTGACACACATCAGAGTTGCTACATGTGCTCTTTGAAGACTCCAGGTCCCAGTCCTCTTCGCTGAGCTCAGGAAGCTTTGACTTGGTCTCTTCCAGCTTGGGTCGAACTACCCTGGACAGGAACTCAGGCCATGACATGATCCTTTCTTAGAAGGCTGGAGGCCATCGCTCTTTTGGGTTGGAGGCCATCGCAATTAGGTTGGAGGCCATCGCTGAGCTCCTTTTCTTCTTTATCCAAATCAGCGTCGAATTTCCGGCTCCCGTGTCTTGAATCACATCCAGACGTCAGGCGCGTCAGGCGCGTCAGGCGCGTCAGGCGCCTAAACCAAAGCCAGTTCGTGAAGGAAAGAGCTGAGAAGCTGCCACGGTAGTTGAGTTTGCTCTCCTGGTCGAAATCTAGGAACCGTGAAGGTGTTTGGTAACCCTTCAAAAAAGGGCATCTCAACAGAAACGACGGCTTCCGTTTTTTGGTCATTTCAAGAGGAAGCTTCTCAAGTTTTCTTGAAGAACCGGAGCTCTTCTACCTTGTCACTTAGTACTACTAGTAGCTTTACTCAAGTAGTTTTTCAAGCTCAATTGTCTTTTTTGTTTTCATTTCTACCAAACTCCAAAGTTTACTAAAAGATTAGTACGTCGCCAGAAACAACAGAACGCTCGTCCTGGAAGGCGAGGTTTACCGAGCTCCAGTTCTTGGACTTCTCTACAGTGCCAACGGCCTCTTTGTCCTCCTCTTCCTGGCAGTCAATGAAGTGACAAAAAAAATGCCATTAGTTTGGAGGCCATCGCTCCTAAGTTGGAGGCCAACGCTCTTAAGTTGGAGGCCAACGCTCTTAAGT